TGTTTCGGAGTAGTGGCTACTGCTTTAATGTCCTGCAAAATCTCAGTTAGAGTGTCAGAAAAGACGCGATAGGAACAGCGGAGCCAAGCGATGCTGGACTGCAAGATGAGGCTGGTCACAACAAATGATCCATTTTCGTGCTTTATTCGCTCCTATTAGGCAGCCATTGTGCAAAGTTGCCCTTCTCTGTCCAAAAAATGTCCGTAAAACTCTAGAAAATTCGATGTTTAATGATAAAATCAGCGGTTGTTGCTGTGTAGTTTCGTTCCTTCTCTCATTTTCTGCCCTATCCACAATTTCTTTTCCACAAATTTTCCGTTCACATTATTACGAGTAATATCATAAAAGCATGGAAGTGGCGACATAAATCCATCTGAAATACGCTTCTCAAACTCCTCTGACTTCCTCAAAATTCATTCCACTTCAAATTTCACCAACAGCGAATTCGAATTTTTACGGAAATTGAAAAAAGGAAAAAGAGACTTTAGATATCGGGAAATTCTCTCAATTTTCCATTCATTATCACTCCTCGGATGAATGTATTTATTTTGGTAAAAACGAAAATTCAAGCATACCGTGTTGCGATTATCATACTATCCTGAATGGAAGCACACCGTTTGAGGACGGAAGCTTCTACCGATTCCGGCGGATCTTTCATCTTTTCGATTTCAGTCAATATGATTTCGGTAATGACCTTTTGTGTTATTATCTGTCTCTAAAATGACACGAGCGCAAGATATTCACGCAGTTCACCGTCAATTAGCAAATGAAAACAGAAAACTGGATTAGATAAATAACACGTTGCATGTTCCGTTAGCTTGCGCAAGAACCTTTCATGGACGGAAATCGTCTAATTCAGCAACTCATTATGATGTCAGATTTTTTCAAATACCTATACGGAATGAGCGCGGTCGATTTGTTGTTAGATTCGGTGTACAGAAAAAGGTTTAAAAAATAATTCTAAGATTTCAGTAGATCAATGCAAACTCTAAAGTGCTAAGCTTACATTAAAATGATTAATAACTTTTTTGGGCCAATTCAGTGAAAACATCGACACTGCTAGCTTTCATATTACATTGATCACCATCCGCACTCCACCACACGTACCATTCATCGATTAATTCTATTCACTATTATTCATTAGATTATTCACCAAATGTTGTTGCCAGTCATTACATTTATTTCATTCCACAAATCAATAAACTCCTTAAATTTCGACTATTTCGCATCATTGATCCAATCCTACCAATAAGTAACATCACTGCCATGAGCCTGACAATTTGCATCGCGTCTCTGTCATAAGAAGGAACGAAGAGTTTGAGGTGATGTACGAAAGTGGTAAATTAGTCGTTAGTTTGGTTGCGTTTGGAGAGGAGATGCTTTTTGGATGGTTCCTTATGAAGTAGAGAAAACCGCGTTTGTAAACGTGTTGGTCGATACTTCTGCGAGATTTAGAAAGTAAGTGTTAAACACACGGTTCTCAGTTTTGAAAATGGGTCAGCATGTTTAATTATCGAAAACAACTACCAGAGACGTATTCGATCTGGTAGTTGTTCTAAGAGCATATAGGGATGATCCGGAATTTCTTGCTCTTAGTAGATTCAGTCAAAAATTTTGGTTAGAGAAAGATCAACATTTGAAATTTCATTCATCTGTTGTAAATTTGTATTTGCATTGAATGAATTATAACATCAAATCTTTAAGAATGTCACTTGAAAAATAAATGGTATCTGTACCTTTTCTGTATTCAGACCGTTCGGGATAGATTTTTGCATAAGACAAGTAACACCATAGATCGGTGCATGTTGAAATTTCATTTCTGGTCACGCCGCTTCGTTGCGGGAATATCGGCATTACCTTCCTCAATCAGCCTACATTATATTCGATTTTTGAATGCTTTCATTCGAACAGGTTTAGGAACAGTAAGCAAATTTTCTGGACTTGTTTTTCTTTTTTTCTCATGCTTTTTGATTTTTATAAGTAGTCCATATGTCTACAAAGAAATGAAAATGGAACTGTTAACATATAGGAGTAGCCAAATCAGTTTGAGACTCATTTTTTCGTCTTCTGTTTAATAATTATCATGTTTGAAACAGTTTATTTTAGGGTTTGTACTGTCTTGTTCATTTCTTATTGGTATTAATTGTTGGATGCGAATATCTCATCCTATTTCCATATGAGCAACAAGTACGGCCATCATTTCGCATCCCTGTATATTATGCTGTCGGTGCATATCTAATTGTTTGCATTCTATTCCATTATCAAAAAGCATGTTCAGTGGATCCTGGACGACCAGAATTTGCAAGTCTTTTCGAAAATTTTCAACTATTCTTCGATATTTCTTATAGTGAGTTATGGCTTTTCTTTCTTCCTTTCTCTATCAATGGTTGCGATATTTACAGTCTGATGCGGAACCTTTGTGCATCTCTTGCGGCTATCACAAACCAGAGGGGACACACCACTGTTCACTTTGTGGTCGTTGTGTATTATATATGGATCATCATTGTGTATGGATCAATCAGTGTGTAGGCCTCAATAATCATCGCTATTTCTTACAATTTGTTATTTATGTGTGGTTTTCGCAGTGCTTCATACTTACTGCCAATTATACGGCCTTTTGGGAACACTTCTATTCTGTTAATGTTTGTTTTTACTGATTCTTTATACGTTCATCATCTATTTAATCAAGAAGTATTTGGAGAAAACAATTTCAAAAAATTTATTAGATGTAGACTATAGCAGGATGATGATGTGATCTGTAAATTATAGGTTTTTGCTCAGTTTAGTACGTTTTCTTGAGAAGCACATATACGTAATGTCAATGTTGAAGTACACTTTTTGCCAAGCAAGTCTTTTTTTTTTTATTCTAGAAGATTTCGACATCATTAACCGTCATCATCATTATCTTACCTTTATAGCATATAGCGTTTTGAACAGCGATGGAATCTGACGTTTAACGTTGAGACGTTTTTGAAGAACTAAACTTACTGCTTGGATTTGGAAATTGTTATAAGAAAATATTGGACTTTGCAGCGCTTATCAGCAGTACCATATTGTGCTCAGCATTTATCATTGGCGCCCTGGCATGGCTTGCTTTGTTCACTGATACCAAATCTTCTGAGCAGTTATATTTGTTTTGTTTATGGACTCGCAGCGCTTTTATTCATCATTCTTGGGATGTTCGCAGCATGGAACATGTATTTAATCTCAATTGGCGAAACATTCGTTGACTACTTGGCTAGTTTTCATGCCATGATACCATTTTTAAGATAAATTTTATTTTAGATTTAATTAATATATTAATAATATGTAAATTTATTGATTTATTGACTTCACTGAGAGTTTCAAAATAATATGTGAATAAAAAAATTACCTTGCCGAGGTGGGAATTCGATTCTGGGACGTGTGCTTGTAAAAAAATTTTTCCTAAATTTCGATCAGTTATATAGCATTGTATGCTTATTAATATATAACATATATACATTGTTTTGTATATAGTAAAGATCTTTAAGCTAAATATAGTTGGTAAGATTATTAAAAAAAATCCAATCTCAGCAATATCTCTTTCGTTTACTTAGAGCTTATATGACGTAGGTTTTTTCATATCTAGACTTGATTAGCCACCACTGATTAATCGTGTACCATATTCATTCATTTAATTTTTTATTTCATTTATATTTGAAAAAAAGTTATATTTCGGAACATGATGGATGCGAGAGATGAAAAGATTGAAAATTGATAATGCAGAGTTCTTTAAAAATAAGATCAGATTGGATATGCTTCTGCATACGTTCCAACTCTGAAATGTATTCGTTATTACCTTACTAATAAACTGAGCACCAAACGCGAATGAGGTATTCAAGGCAAAAAAAGAGTTATGAGTCCATGTTTCTTTTTGGATGATCAGTATGCTTTGTTTCAATGTTTATATTTGTATTTGAACCCTTAAAAAACTTGCATACATCGCAATAGTTTTTTAAATTCCTACTTTCGTTTTAAGTTTTAACTGTTTTAGCAACATCGTGATTACCGTCGGAAACAGCATAGATGGCGTTCACCAAACGATCTCGGATTCGTTGAAAACTGGCGTTGTTTCTTAGGATTAAAGCAAGGCCGTACTTTCATACGGCACATTCTATTGCCATCCTCTCATTATCCCATTGACAGGCGTCTCATATGTAAAAATGACGTTCTCTCTTTCGTCGTATGAATTCATCGTTAGTTTCTTATTTTATTCACTATTTTGTGATGGTATTTTTGGCTTTCAAATGAATGTTCATTTATTTAGTTGCTTACAATTTTCACTTTACAATTGCGTTTTTGATTAATTACTATTCATTTCACTGTTATCTCTCGTAATTTCGTCTCAAGTGTAATACTGCTGTTTTTTTTTTTCGTATTAATGATTTCATGTTAGAAACAACTTTTAACCCTGTTTGGTTCACAATTTTACGCCTGTGATTCTCTCTGCTTCAGTACTGTAAACGGTTTAATTGAACGATAGCTGATCATTTCTAAGATTACAAGATAAATGTTGAAGAATGATGGAAGGCTTAAGAAAGAATGGGCTATTGGTAAGATAGTATGGTTTGCCCGCTTTTGTGGATGTGCATCTGGCAAAGAGACTGGTAATATTTTGTACAAAAGAGGCACTAAATGGATGATTTCACAATTAGTTCCTATTAATTGTTGATATTTCATTTTTGTTCCAGAATTCGTCAAGGCTAATCGCGGATGTGTGATCCAGAACAGATACGCGTGGACGTTCAAAGAGTTCACCACGTCGTATTTTCAGTAGTGCTTCTTCCCTCGTTGTGCTACCTACTGTACTTTCCCGTACACCATATGGTAGGTTTTGTTTGCTTCGACTAGATACCGAGAGGCGCTCTTCGCTCGCTTGACGGGCATTAAAACGTGGTTCGATCGTCAGAACTGTTGGGTCAATTCGTTCTAAATTAAACTGCCGTACCGAATGCGAGTTTTGGCTCGGGATGTTTTGTTCTATTGCATGTCTGTAATTATATTATGGTTATGACGTCCGATTTGATTCCATTCATTAGAATTTGCTTTTATTCTTGTAAATTGCTACTAATAACCTGTTTTCAGTTTTGCTTATCTGCATTCTTGTTCAGCTCTATGTTTACTTTCAATATGAATTATTCGTTTTGAATCTGATTATACGAGATTATGATCTAATTGTTCCGAGCGAAAAATATTCTTTCAATTATTTTCTGACAGCTAACCTTGATGAATCTCCATCTAGTATTACATTACAAGCATTTTTAGTTGCTGTAATCAGTCTTGCATCGTTGTTAGTACTATCATTGTTTATAGCAACACTGCCAGTTTTCTGGATTTCGGAGCTTCCAGTATGTGGTACTTCAGTGGATGTAGCAGCGTGCTGCACATCAATTCCCGTAACCAGACGTTGGTTTACATCAGAACTGCCAATACGTGACAATGCATGTTGCTTTCTGCATTTCCGGTAACATAAACAGAGTAGGGTAAGCATCAGCAGAACAAGTAGGATTATAAACATCCATATAGTATAACTGATGGGAGACTTCGCGAAGCTACTACGTATGATTTCTTCTTGTGGAAAGTGCGGTATCGTGGTGCCATCTGAAAATATTTCCTTTGGATCAGTTGATCACTGTTCGTTTACTGTTCAACATCAAACGTTACCTTGACGACGCGTGCATATATATTCATGACGATTTCTGCAGTCATCCACGGCTAAGATGTCTTCCTTGTTATTATGCCAGTCTATATAGGCACACTCTTGTCCCCGAGGACTTCCTGTGAGTTTAGGCAAGCTGAAACTATCAGATAACGAACTTAATTGCTGGCATTCGTTCCGTTCTTTCTATTCTATAACATAAAAGTAAAATGCTGATCATATTAATAGCTATGGCATAATAATTTCTTTCTGGTATGATAGATTAATATTGAATATTTTGCCTAAATTTATTTGCTTAACTTCAGCATAGCATTTTACTGTTGGTTTAATATATACAATTATCTCTATTAAATGCATTTTGATTAAATCCTTCGTTGATGTGCCACCAAAGATCTATTTATGTGGTAGGATAATCCCTACAACTGCTCGCATTAGAATAATACCGGATGTACAGGAGTTAAAATGTTTTGTTTTGTTTTCAATGTTGGATAAATGACCATCTACGAACTCTTCTGGCCATTGTTCGGAGTTTGAATCCACGGGTATAAATTTGCCATCACCGCTGTGATCCATATAACCAATCCATGGAAATGTTTTGCTTTTTGCATAAATTGCTGAAACATGTTAATTTACCATTGAAATTCACAAAGTTGGGCAAAATTTCCGGATCCCTTTGGTAAATAAATAAACGGAATACATCTGATCAAAAGTTACCTGCAACAAACGAATACTCGTTGGCGGAGGTCAATGTAAGCAGATTGCTACGTGCTAAACTACATTCTTTCTGAGCTTCTAACCATGTCAAACCGCGAATCGGTCTCTTTAATACATAACAGTAACCTATCGAACTAGAAATCCAGCTCGGTGGACATCCTGGCATATCTGAACACAAATTAAATCAGATGGTGAATTGATCTTACCAACTGGCTGTTTTTACACTTATACTATGTTAAGTATTTGAAATACTGTATGTATTGCGAGTATTCTGAATAATCTGCTTTTGTTTTTATAAATTTACAAATTTAGATAAATTTATTTTAATACTCTCTAGAAAAGTTTTAATTGTGACTGCACAGATAGAGACATTCATTGAAAACCATCGATATAAGCAGCTTGTATAGTGGCCGTCAGATTAGATAATTTTTCTGCGACAATTATAGCGTTAATCGCATAAGTCATAAAAAAAGTAATCTTGTATAATAAATAACCCACATAGATACTGCCATTTAACTAGTGAGAAGCAAAAGTAGTCAGCTTTAAAAAAAAGGGAAATACCGAATTCGATGAAGGACATATTGATGCCTTTCCCTTGAAATGCCTCGTCACTGTGAAAATACACATAAAGTGAATCGGTGGTGCTGATAATCGCATCCGGATGCTTATCGCCGCACCAACGCACTACTTCTGGTGATTTGAATGTGTTGCCTGCAGAAAGCAATTGACATTTATTTGTACTTTTTCTGGCCTTTGAAAGGTTACGATTCGACTCAGGAAAAACTTACCATCATGAATGGAGCAGTAATCGTCACATTTCGAGAACAAGGCATCGTCAATGTCAGAATCATGAACGGTTAGCATTATCCTTTTCCTGCTGTTGCTACCCATCAGGATCCAGCTGCATCGCATGTTATTTGCGTATCGACCGGTTTCATATCCAGTTGTGTGAAAATAAACTTGCTGAGCATTAGACTTTGCTTGCAGTATTATCGGCTCTACTATAATACGATCAATATTTGAAGGTGAAACTTGAAAAAATTATATAAGAAAAGGAATTATATAAAATCATTCAAAAATATAAAGGATTCTAGTACAACAAAAAAATAGGGAATGAATTCTAGAAGGGTAAGCCTGCCATTCATTAGAATGATACTGGCTACATATTTAAGGCTTGAATCAATTGATTTGTGTTCCTCTATCATTGCTGGCACTACAAGAATTTAAATTCAATAGTGTCATTAAGCAGTAAGCTTTGACCCGCGAAGCTTATATTATTTTCAAACACTATTGTCCTTATCATATCAGTTTGGTTCTCAAAACAATTGCAAATAAAGCGAGTAGAAAATAAACATTACCGGGGCACGCATGTGCATGAACGACCATTGTGTCATCGAAATTCTGTATTACAATGTAAAAAACCATATTAAGAATAAGGCAATCCTTTTCAAAGCGGAGAAATCGTAATGGTAATTTAGAATAATGAAGGAGTAGTAATGAGAAAGGTTGGATACATTCAATTGGCCTGCTAATGAACAAGATCAAGAAGCCTACCACATACATTGTAATCAGTGATGAGAAATGAAACAGCTTGGTAGTAACGTGAATATTAAGATGAGGGAAGGATTTCCACATTTCAACTACACCGAATTTTATCACGAGTGAACTGAAGACAGTGTGTGTGTGTGTGTGTGTGTGTGCAAACTCAGGATAATAAGGTGGTCGAAGAGGGTGGTAGTGGTGGCGGTGGTGATGAATTCATTACGAAAAACCCAGGCGATCACTTTATACTACTCAAGCTTCCTGATCCTTTTGAAAATGCGTCCTTTTGCATCCATAGCAACCACACCAATAGTTTATGAGTCAGTCGAAGGCAATTATGGAACATCGACATGAACGCCTCAACTTTGTTGCGACCATATTTGGAGATACCAGCCAGCAGTGTGTCCCATTTCTTGCACTCTAAAAGTAAGTCTTGTATGATCAAATGACCACCTCGTTCCCTTTCTCTTCCTACACATGAAACTCCCCTGATAATCAACCCATCATTTCTCCTTATGAAATTCTCAAACGATCACCGCCACACATTTGCATTTGCATGGTATTCAAAATTCTAATCCCAACACTCCACAACTCTTCAAGGCGCGTCGTCATTCCTTTCCTTTCATTTCCGCTCTTTTCATTTCTGCTCTAATCGAGACTTGTTTTTACTACTTCCTAAAAACGTTATGTATTATGTCCCTTTGAAATGCACAATTTTGCCGCATATTAACTTGTTGTTGTCAATAGGATAACTACGGAACAGCTGATTTGTTCAAATTTGCCTTCTCATCCTCAACTTTGCTCACTTAACTGAAAAAACTCGAGATTAACCATTCATCTTTGCTCAAACAATGCACCTGTACCAAATAAGGTGCTCAGGTGGATCAGTCTTTGCAGTTTTGATGCAAACCTCATTGCTCATCTGCTCCTCGTTCTTTTTGTTAAAATGCATTCTGAAGAAGGGAAAGAAAGAGAAGAAAAAGAAAAGAAACTAAAATATTGATTGATGGACACGTCAACTGATCACGTCAATTGCTTTTCCAGTGTTCTACAGATAGCATGGGCTAAAAAATGTTTACGACGTATGGACGATGAAGCTAACACTTATACTCGTGATGGACATGTCATTGTGTTACCGCATCACTGAATAATCCTGTGATACGGTGGTAAAATGATGGAAGAGCGACGGACTGGAAAGAAAAGACATCTCAAAGGAACTATGTCCATGTGATGTGATTAGTGGATAAAAAGGGAATGTACGTCAAGAAGATGTTATGAACACCGACGACACAACGTGTATTCCAAAGATCAACTTTACGTTGATCTTCTAAAAGAGGCACAACGATCAAATCATGTGTCACATGGTAGCTGCCAAACTGCTTGACAATGTGTATCTCTTGTCATTGCATCTGATTCTTGTCCTGAATCCACAATACCCTTCCCCACAAAATTAGACGGATCAGCAGCTTTATACTCGATGCTCGATGTCATCTCGGCGGCAACTTCAGAATATCATGATACTTCAATTGCGATACTGATAGCAGTACGCTTCCATGAATGTAACGAAGTCGCACGAATAGATCTCTCAAATGCTTGGGACATAAATTTCATATCATGTCCTCTCTCGATTCGCTGTAGAAGGGATTGGAGCTGGATTAATTGATGGAGTGGCTTCATGGCTTCTGCATCATGTCCCAGGCATCTCGACTATTTCTTGAGCACTTTACACAGCTCCTCTCTTTCTGGCAACAATTTTTCTGTAGGTTGAACATGTCGAATTCCCGTCTTTTACACCGCATTATAAGGTTAAGTACGTCTTTTACATCACGTATTTTTAAATAGCAATTTTGATACTTTCTGCGTTACACCTCGTCCACAACTAAGAATGGGTACGACTGGCAATTGCATTGTATTCTACGATATATTTGTGCTCTGTATATCGACCATTGCATATTTTTCACTTCTTTGTTCCCCCATTCATTTTATCGTTCCATTTCAGGGTGATGCAGTCGATGCAGATAAGGTTAATATGAAACGTTGCTGTTGGTTTGTACTCTTCGTAGCGTTCTGTATGCTAGTTTTCTTTTCAAATTTAGTTTCCGTTGGAATTTCTTTTCAAACAGAGGATAACTTGCGATTAATAAAACCACAAGTGTACTGAACTGCATTTCGACCTCACCCAATATTTGTCATTCTTATTCCCACAAATAGATTTCAGACGGAGAAAATTTATATACTATAGTCAGAGTGAGAGAGGGGTTCAATACCACTCGTGGATTACCGAAAGGTGAAATTAATTGTTATGTGATATGAACAGTGGTGTAGAGAGGGGTGTGTGTTAGTTGTCTTAATGTTGAAATGTGACTGCAAAAAGATTCATTCAGTGAAGATCAGTTGTGGTGAACGACTATCGGATCAGATCTATCTAGATTTGATTGGTGGAAGGTATAGCTGCTTTCGATTGTTGAATGGAACACATGAAATTGGCTGCGGTTGTAAGTGCTTATATCATTTAAGAACAGAGACAGAGATGCTCTAAGGAATAATTAGAGTAAATGTTTTATGGGATTTTATATTTAATACTGCTTCAGCTGCAGAAGAGGGAAACGAAGGTGTCGTCGTTTATGCAAATAATGCTGATGAGTTGATTAATCTTTTAGCAGATTTTGATTTCACAGATCGCATTATCACGGCTTTTGACATATTTCTTTTAAATGAGTAAGTTTCAGGTTAGATTTTGTAATTTCTAGTGTTGTTATCATAAAATGAAATGAATAGTATTTATAAAAAGGGTACACACTGTTGATGTTGCAGGAGAATAATCAGAGTATTGAACGACGACAGGGTACATGGTGTGCTTCTCTTACGCAATGATTCTGCTGCCATCATTGACCAGAAGCGACTGAATATTGGATTTTCAGAAGATGCCTTTTGCCCTAATGAGCAGTTTGGTAGATTGTTGATGCTTTGTTAACTTCATAATTTATGATCAATTGAAGTAACTACTGAATAATAGTTACTTGGTAGTTTACCTATAAGGACGCAATAGGTCGACGAGCTTTATCTTTTTCAGATCTCAGTGAGGAGTGTAAAAATCGGTGGAATGAGCGTGGTGCATTGCTGCCAGCAGGTTTTCGATTCATTAATTGGAAGAAACCAATTTTTGTCATTGAGAATCTCACCGAAATTGACATCATCAGAAACTTTGTAAGTTGTTTTGTTATGGTGCGTATTTACTATCCGTTTTGAAAAGATCTGAGTCATGAGCCCGTAAATCTCATAGATTTCAATATCTCGCTTGCATTCGTCATTCAAAAAGCAATTATTGCAGTGCTATGAGGCATTCAATAGAAGGAATTTGAAAGGAACTGTACTTTGTTCAGCACGTATGAAACATTTCATGCGGGCAGCAGGCAATGCTGAAATATGTCTTCAACGTCAGAAACTGTTCTACGGCTTTTCGGATTCATCGTTAGTGCTCAGAAAAGTATTTTGATTTTGTTACTTTAAATTTATGTGGGTTATATAGATCGCATTATTTGGTTTCAGGATCTCTCTTTGTGACCCATTGGGAGACAAAAATTTGTTCGCAACAGTTCCAGCATTTATGAAAAAGTTCAGACCCAAAATCTTGATCCTCTCTGCCAGAGTATGATTTACATATTTTGCTTCCTTTCTTTTTATGTGGTGAATTTCAGAGGAATAATTTTGAACGCTTATAAAAATGGAATGGCAGTGTTTGAGAATGTTTTAGATGGATTCCTTCAGTTCGTTCACAGAAGCAGCGGTTGGCGAGGTATCTGCTATTACATCACTCATTAGCCTTCTGGCGGTTGCTAAAACGATTGCAAAACATTCCAGTGATTTTGAAGCTGTCGCAGAGCGCAATGAACGGGCCGTTATTTTTGCCTTCTTTCACGGTGTATGTTCTTGAATTTATAACCGTGGATGCTTGCAGTACTGTTTGTTAAATTAAACTAATATAATAATATAACCGTAGTTATGTAAATGTAGCTAAACCGTTATCCTTTATTAATGTGGTCATGTCTATATATTGTTATCGTGGAATGCAAAAAACATTTTAATCTAAACAAGTAATTTCAGGAATCATTGGGTTATATTGGAAGTAGTGCCACAATGAATGACATTATAAAAGGCGAATTTCCTCTAGATATCCGGCTAACAGACATCGATAGTTTTATTGAGGTAATGATAAAAATCATGAGCATGGTAGCAGGATTATTGTAATAAGGTTGACTAACATTATTAATATCCTAGCGAGCCATTCAGCAAATTCAGCAAACAATAACCCGAAAACGCTTTGACGATAAAATTTAACTTTACTTTTTTTAAATAAAATTTAACTTACTTTTTTATAGTTGTCATTATTTTGCAGGTGCAGCAGCTTGATGGTTCAGAACCAACGTTTTTTGCTCACATCGATTCGAAAGTTTACGATACTCCCGCAAGCAAATTGAAAGTGTGTTGAGCAACAAATTATTAGAAAACTATTATTCATCTTTAATGTGGACAAAACTCATTTTTCTGTGCTATTTCACAACCGGTTTGTAAGATCCGATTAGTTAAACGGTGAATCTTAGTAATGTGAGACGATTCCATAACTGTGAGAACGATGCGATTCTACATTTTCGTGTTCACGGATAATTTTTACTTCATCATTTCAGGTGCAAATTTTGCTAGATGCAGCCTGGTCGTCTCTTAAGCAAAGAGAGTCCAGAAATGGTGAGGATGGAAGAGGTAGTAAAATAAATATCGAGAAGAAGGTTCCACTACCACCTTCTTCTTATCAATCATTTTTGAAAGGAAAACGTGACATAGCTGGTTTTGTTCTCCGACCTTTCGGTCAGCAGTATATTTACAAGTTAGTTAAATGAATTATTTAGCTCTGATGACCTAATAGAAATACACAATTATAAAACAAAAATTACTCGTTACAGTTAGTAACTTATCTGATCGATTTAAAATAATAAGGGACAAAAAAAGCTAATGTACTATTAATAAGGATATATTTGCAGCCGAATAAATTCGTTAGAGGATCAAAATATATTCAAAAATGGAACTGCTAAACTGAGAAATCAAATTATTGCTGCTGCAAGTGCTGTTATAGGAGCTGTAGCAGGATTCCTCACTGGTGGTAATGAAACAGAAACTGATTTATTCAATCAGTATGATATAGACGAACCATATGTAAGCAAAGATTGCTCATCAAATTTGTGCAATTTTTTTTCTATAGTAGATCATAGTGATTTTTATAGGTATCTGTTCTTCTTGATTGTTTTTTGAAATATCCGGATTGGCATACTTGTAACTTCTTCAAAAATATCACGAAAGGCGACAATCGATTCGAACATTACTGTTAGTTCAAGCTAATCTTTTTTCTAAAAATATTTATATCCATTTCGACTTTATTATTTTGTATGAAAAAACAAACTCAGTTTGGAAATTATGGTTTTTATATTTTACAAGCTAAATTCTCGAGACTCTATGAAAAATAGTTTCAAAAAATATTTCGTTTTCAGACTTTGCAGCGAAAGATACATATATCTCGGTAGGAAGAAACAATTACTCTTTAATTCGTATTCTGATGACTATATTAATTGTTAATGTTCTTGGGTCCAAGAATGCCGTTAATGTACCTGATCGTGATCAGTGTGAGGATTTGAATAAGCACCAAGAGGTAACAGGATGGTTTTTTATCTTTTTCTTTTTCGAAGCTTCTTACGATTTAAAAAGATTTTACTAATGCTCATTTGCCAGTTTATAATATTTTTCAAAACATACAAATAAAATGTTTACTATGAAATAAAAACAGCGAGAGTTATGACATATAGAACAGCATTTAAATTTCATATTTTATTTGCACAAAATTACAATATATCCTTAACTGATGGATAATTACCTTTTGCATTCAATTTTTTCATTCATAACTGCTTTTCCAGCTCAAAAAATTATGATAAAATTTGTTGAAAGAAATTGTCTCTCTCTGAATACTAATGAATGAATAATGAACAGTTTTCCAAGAAGGAAATATCTTGTAGATTTATCATTATACTTGGCAATATGATCCAGAAGATGAAAAATTTACATGTTATCGTAATTCGCTATATATAACAACTGCGGAATCTCCAGCGTTCAAATTAGACGGTATTTCAGAGTACAAATTTTACTCTATAGGTTATCTTCTCTGATTTATTTCATGTTATTTGTAACTTTGTTGATGATTTATTCACATAAAGCCTTCACATTTATTCTTTTTCCAATTTAGTACGACTGGAAAATTTCAGGATATGATATGCGTTCAGGAGTTTATTCAACTTGGGTAGAAAGTGTTTGGACAACGAAACAGTTGGAACTTTTCCTAACTATACATCCATATCTAACGCGTGATGTCACTGTGTTTCTGTCCGGATTCATTTTCTTCATCATTTCACTCATCGTAATGGAACTGATTTATTTAGGAAATAAAGAAGGCATCGACCCAGTAACATCCATACTGGACTCCGACTATAATCCCTCCCTACTTTAGTGGATGACCGTTCAGTCTATTGGGCTGCATTTTCGTACTCTATTTCAATTAATCTTATTTTTGAATTTATTTCAGAAAAATTTTTCCAAATAACTGTTTTCATGCCTACTTGTGAGCATATTTATCGTGCTTTCCATTGTTTTTAAATGAGCTGCACATATTGGAACAACTCATTTTAATAAATTATTCATTATCACCTTGATTACGCTCTATGTTATGTGAATTAGTCCGTGAACCGAGCACTGTATCGAGAGCACTTTTTAGCTTCTAATGGTTTCAATACGAGTAACATCGCTCAACAAATGTTTCCGAGTTGCTGTTAAAAGTTATAAAGAGACAAAATCTCTGTTCATCTAGTTTATTTTGAAGCTTTTGCAATGCACGAAGCAGTGCGTGCACATCTTGTACAATTTTTTGTCGTTGTCAGTTTTGTGCATAATTGCATATTTCCACTTATATCTACAAAGCGATGGATAGTCGGATAGCATTCATACACTTTCTGATAATTTAGGAGGCACGAAAGGATTTTCACAATACTGAATACCTTTATTTGTGGCATAATTAGTAAGGGTCGAAGAAGTACCACATTTGATGACTGCCAAATTTTGTTCGACTGATGAGGAGTGCTATTTGTTATTGGTGAAATCAAAAGTGTCCGCTAGGTGTGATCTGCTTTACATAATAGTGATTAGCACTACAACTTCACAGGAAGCGGTGGTAGAGAGATAGAGGATAAATAAATATTCAATTTATGTGAAGAGGAAACACAAGCAAATAACCATAATAATGAAGGCGATGACACAAACAGTAACTTTGACGATCACGGATGGAGCTCCATCTCCAACGAGTACTGATTGGGAATTATCCTTGCTATCATCCTTTTCTGACAAGCATGTCTAAATGAATTCATTACCCATATTTCATTTACAAACTAGAGAAAGGCAGATTTCCCCACGCATATATTGCAGTGTCCGACAGAAGTCAATAGTGTAGCGAGTGAAGCCATAGACAGATCCTAAGTTTAATTCAGTGTGAGATGGAAAATGATAGTAATATATATACTTATTTATTTAAATCTTGAGTAGTAGCAACCGTTTCAGAGTTAAATATTTGTTGTGGTCGCTGAAGGAGGGAGTTTTTCATCTCTTCGGATGATTGATTCCTGGAAAAAAATCTGTTGAAGGATTTAATGGAAATTGAAGTCAAAAAGTAACACAGAGAAAAGCCAAAAATTTAATGAACAGTTCGGCTCGGTTCAGGTCAAATATAGGTTGTCGCCAAAGACTAACCGTGAACGTGGCTCGTGATCATAGTCAATGATTGGTACATTAACTGATTGGTCAGCTGCGCTTTCCATATCTTTCTTTTCATCATCAACAACATGTATTTCCAATTTTTCATTTCCATCTGCGAATTTCATTACGTTATCTGCAAAAATTTAGTTTGCACAATGAAAAGGTATGTGGCGATGATAAGTCGATATGGTTGGTTTTGTGGCGGCGATTGTCGGAACCGGTTCCATCTACAATGCAACTTGCAGTTGTTCATTCAGCCGGGAGAGCTTTCTCATAAAGTGTCACCTACCAAAACATCCATCTTCTGAGCATTCTCCACCGGCAAACTTTGTCCGCATCGTTCTAATGTTTTTCCTCTCTCTTCTTATATATGTAAACATTTTGTGTGTGTGTGTGTACATGGTATATGAAGAAAATGGTGGTAGTGTTATTGTCGCTCGCTCGGTGATCTGTGCGATTTGTCATCAGTGCTCGGTTATCAGTGGACTGTCATATTAAGCTACAAAAGGAAGCAAGAATGACCCATTGCTGAGAGATAACGCTTTCAGATGTGCAGATGAAAGTGGGAAAGAAATGAATTGAAATGGAGGTAAGGTCGCAAGGTGCTTCAGCTTGAGCTTCTTCAAAGCGACATATCTCAAGAATTCTCTCTCTCTCACCTTATACAAAGTGACCAGAGAAGCAAAGGCTTTCATATTTCGGAAAACGCATAGCCTTCATATTTCGTCACAAGCACCGTACGACAGAATTACTTGCTGTGCAAACTGAGGTCACTAATTGGTCTGGAATGAAGCTGAGGCTGTGAGCCGTTATGTTTTAATACATTTAGTTAAGTACAAAAAGCTTGTTCAGGAAGACTTTTAATTTGAAAAGCTAAATTCGATAAATAAATCTAAAAGAAACATTGCATCTGGGCTTAACAGTCAACAGTAAATGAACCGGACAGCTTTCCTAGTGCAAGCCAGTGATATATGTCGCAATCGCCTGCTTGTGATATTTTCCACTTTTAGCTTGAAAAAATTTTAAAGCAAAGGACGGCTAAAAGCATTTTGCTGTGAAATTATAACACATTCCTGAGCCAGAAACTAAGAAAAAGATTACTAACCTTTGCGGTGAAGATTTCGAGCATCTCCCGATAAAGCTGAAGGTAATTAAGAAGGCCTTATGAAAAAGCTGGAAAAGACAATCGAAAACTAGGAATGGGTAGAGATACGTTCACAGTCAAAACTACCTATTTACAAATCTTCAGAATTCCAGGTTTTTCGCCAGTCAGTAAACCAGATAGTCAATCATCTCTCAGAAATAAGAAAGTAGCTTTCATGCTCATTAATCTATAAATAAATATAGGTTAATGAATATGCAGGTTGCTTTTTTAGCCAAAATAAGCACGAAAAAAGGACCCTATATACGCAAAACAAGAAGAGAATGGCTAGATTGGAATTCAGTTAGTTGATTCCCGCAACAAAAAACAGTTGAAATAAAACATTTGACTGAAAAACAAATGACACAAAATTACACAACATTTCAAACTTGTTTCATTATAGGATAGCATAGAGCCATGCGTGATAAATGATGCATCCGGTGAAGTAATGAGTTGGAACTTCGGTGTGTCGTGAAAGGTAATTCCAGTTCCCAATCAATCTGAATGTTTTATTTGCTGTTACATCAAAAGTAACTTATATCACCGCATATACCGCATATACCATTAATATTCCATTTCTAGAGATGCTTATGATTATCTTTGGAAGTTGTGTTAAGCTTCTTTCTAGATATTAATTTTGATGTAATAATTGAAAGTTAGAGAAGAAATGATAAGTTGAGAAGATTGATTCCGCGTCTTCCAATCACCTCAGGCCACTTTGAAATCCCAGCTACAGTGCCATCTTTTCTCTCTCCTCTCTATTTTTACTATGTCGCATGTCCTTTTTAATACTTTAATAAACTTGCTTTTCCATCTTCCATTTTGCATATCTGTTTGCTGATCATATCATCCATTATGGCTTCATCTTTTCTCTTCCACCACTTTTATTTATTTCATTTAATTTAATCGTCTGTTTTCATTATTAGTAATTTTTTTTTACTTCCATTATTCCACTTCCAAAACAAGGATTTGCTACCTCAGTTCCGAAACCGGAAATGCTAAAAGATGGTGGGTAATTCAATAGCTTAGAGTAAAGTATGAAAAAAATCGACGAACGATTGTTTCTCCTACTTGTTAAAGTTCATTTCGTAGATGCAAAATGAACTTTTATATTTAAGTTAGGTTTTTGAAAGTCTACCGAATAAATTCGAAATGAAACTTATTCAGTAGGCGATATATTTTTCATTCTCGATGTACTTGTTTTAGAGATTAAATGTCAGCTTTCGCTAATGCGTGGAGTATATTATAATACTGAGCATTCATTCAAACAAAAGCAGTTTTCCTTTGAATCGATGCTATTTTAATGACATTTTGCTGAGGTTCCTGGAATTTACTTCACTAAAACCTATTTTCATTAAGATTGACATCCCAAACTTTTCTCACGGTTTGAATGCAACTCGGTTTTGATTGAAAATATTGTGAAAATTTGTTTTAGTTTCTTCATCAATTCTTCATTTCAAAGTTTATTTTCTTTTCTTCTTATCAGACACTTACTTATTTTTGTTAGCTTAAAAAAACTGTGTGTGCATAGAAATTCCCGTCTCTTCAGATGCCGAAGTCTCGATTTATTAAGCCAATCAGGAATTCCTGCTTCTAATTTAGAAAGTCGAATAAGCAATTAATTTGCATGATGAAAAATGTCTGAAAAAATGAGCCATAGCAAAATCAACCGGAGAAATGGATTGAGAACGGCTTGTTCACGAGTTTGCAATGTTCGTTGATTCGATTCGTCTGACATTGTGAATCATTGCTCCACTGCTTCAGCTAGTATTATAAATTATTTCATTGGAAATGTTTGACTTTCCATTTCCACGTCAGCCACATTTCTGTTCGGTTTAATCGATTCTTTCTTTCAAACATTCCTACAGTTCACCTTCAATATTCCGCTTGTTGATTTTATTAAATATAAATAATGAGTAAATGAACTGAATTCTCATAACCGTTGGCTTCCTTTTGAAAACTAAAGAAGACTGTCCAACTATCCCGATCATTCAAATTTAAATCTAAATTTTATATGAAATTACAACAAAGAGATATTATTTCTTATTTTCTAATTCCTCATGAGATAACTAGCAGCATAAAAGAATGTCGTCGGGAGCAAGCTAGTAGCTCTTTCAATATCCGGTACATCTGCAGCGAAAATTTCGCGAAACGTTTCGAAACAAGGCTTTATTTTTTTAAAGGCAAAAATTATCCGTTACACTGTGCAAAAACGATAATCGTTAATGTGAATTTTTTAAAATATCCTTCGAGATTTCTTCATCTCCTCTCACACTACAACCTTTCTTCCACATCATATTGATGTATCAGCGCTATGAAATATGAATTAACGATATTATCGTTATGTTATCGAAAGAACAATGCAATTGCAATTAATTATATCACCCAACAAATCTTTTAGCGATTTTGATGCGATGGAGGAAAGAATGAAATATGAGCTTGATTTGGGATTGATTGCAAATGTGAATTTTTTTTTTGAAATAAAGACTTGCATATTGCATGCAAGTTAAAGCAAGTAAATATGTACATGGAGATAATGGAGATAATGTTATAAACTTCCTGGTAAGAAACATAAAATCTATTATACAAAAAACTAGAGGAACCAGTAAACAAATTTTTTTCTGCTTTATTCATTGGAACATGTCTGAGCAAAATCGATCAATAGAACTATAACTGTTCTTAGATCAATTAATAAGCCAATCCAATATTTTGTTTCATAAGAAATTCTACATTCCGGTCAGCTATTTTGTCTGACCTTTCCTGTCATCTTCAGCGCTTCATCGCTTGTATTGGCTTTGATGCTCTTTTTTTCTTATCCTGAAATCAATTCAGTTGCCATATCTCTTCTTTATTTTCCTCTTTTTCCGGCTTAACATTTTCTTCTCTCGAATTAAATTTTGTTTGACATTTTTTTCAAATTGTCAGCAGCAAAAATCAAGGAAGCGTGTTATTTGACTCAGAAATGACATCTGTTCAAAGTTACACTGTCTATTCGCCGGTATATTTCACTTTGATGTTCCAATGATTAAAGAAATGTCCACCCACTTCTTCAATGATAGATGAGTCATAAACAATGAATATTCCGAACAAGTATGACAAGTTAGCGGCCAAAAAACATATCCCGGACACGGCGTACAGCAGCACACCGATTGTGATAGTGTAAGGGCCTCCTCGGCTTCCATAGATAGTAACTGAAAAATGTCTCCGTTTTGAATTGAAATGCTTTTTGAAGTGAGTTGAGCATTGGATATTCTGGTCCCATCACGCAGTACTGAAGACAGGTGATTAGGGAAGCTGAATTGAAAAACCTGTGAATGCACGGTGCTCCTTCTTCTTTTCCTGAACAGATCGTTTCCAGATTCGTCCTTTTTTACGGCAAACCAAATCGACCCTCGCTAATCCATAAGCAGTTCTGCTAGCGTTATCAAAGTACATGTCATCTGGACACCTGCTGCGCTGCAATATTCCCTAGGGCCAATGAAGCTCTGGGCTAATAATGCCGGAAAAAC